ACCGGTGTGCCTTAGGCTGGACACAATAAAACACCACTCCACAGTACAATGCTACAGATGTTTCAAGTTTTGAGGGAGCTTGCAATTGGCTTGCTGACTGCAGAATTGTCAACCAAAGATGCTTCTTATGAATTGAATGTTCATTTCTCTTCCATGAATTGTTTCCAAAAATTTGGCATCACAGTTTTTCTTGTTTGCTTTGACCTGGTTAAAAAAACAGGTTCCACTTGCAAACGTGTAAGCCCTTTCTCATTGGGTTGACAGATTTTCCCCACCATTTTTCGAAACAGTTAACACGGATGTCATTCAAGCAGTCCAAACTCCATTGTTTTAGCTATGGTAACCAAATTATTTAGAAACTACCAAGATCAGTATGAATTCACTGATGCACCGGTTTGACAACCCTTCACACAAATCTTCAATTAGCAATCAGTCTGCAAACATTAAAAATGGTGGAAGGTCTGTGTTGTTCTATGCCAGCATGAATGGAGGAGGTCAATAGTGGCTATTTCCAGTATTTCAGTATTTCAGTTTTCAGCCACATTTTAAAAATGTCATGAATTTAATTTAAATTTAATCAAAGCATTTCTTATTCTGGATCCAATTCTTTGCAAAAAGGAAAATTTGACAGCCCAAATAGAAAGACAACAAATGGCATTGGCAACAGGCTACAATGGCAAGCAATGGTGCACTGATTCACACTAGGTTCTGTAATTTGTTGTCCATTGTGTAATGATTGAGTGAAAGAGCTCATATACTTGTTTGTAAGTTGTGTTGTTTAAAGGTAAAACTAGCCTTTGTTGCATATTTCAAATGTTTTGACACAGTAAGTACGTTTTGCAAGCAACATGTGTCATTTTTACCATGAGTGCCGCTGTTTAGGCCTGTGTGTAAACTGTTTTGAAAATGTGGAGTTTCAGTTGGCGCCTGCATCAAAGCGATCAAGAAAAACTGTAAATCCAACCAGTCTCTCAATTGCAGACCACATGTAACTATCTTCACCTCTAAGATCAGTTGAAACCAGCCACCTGAACCGCTGCTGCAACAATCGCTTTGCATAGACAAAGAATTTTTGCACAAGCTGGCATCTGCATGCTCATCTGCATCCTCGTCTTCCTCATTGGGGTCTTGACCTGACAGTTTGTCATTGTAACCTGCTTGAACGGGTAAATACTCAAATTCTATGGTGTCTGATACTTTGGATGGGGTGTTTTCTTCACAGATGAATTCCTGTTTTTACTGTACAGGACAGAGTGGCCCAAAGGGGTTGGGGTTATCAAATCAAATCACTTTTATTGTCACATCATCAGCAGCATGTTTGCTATGATGAGTGAAAAGCTTAGGTGCTGGCTCCAGACAGTGCAAGTACAACGACAGTGCAAATAAAATAACAGTGTAAAATACAGACAGTGCAAGATACAGACAGTGCAGATACAACGACAGTGCAAAATACAACAGCATACTCCCAAAAAAACAGGACAATGTAAAATTGAAAGCGATATGTACTATGAATAGGTGTCCACATAGTTGTAGGCAGTATTGTTTCAAGTATGGATTAGTTATGGTATTGGCAGGCATGTGTTATGAACAGCAAACACAGCTGCATGTTTTTGATGGCATTTTGAATGCACAGAGATATCGGAATGACATACTAAGGCTCGTTTTGTGCCTTATGTCACTGCATGATAATGAACTGCCCCATGTTGCAGAAATCTGTACACTATTCCTGAAAGCTGAAAACATCTCAGCTCTTGTATGGCCAGAATACTCAACAGACATTGAGCATATTTAGGATACTGGATTGCCATATCCGACTGGCAACTTCACACAGCCATTGAAGTGTGGACCAACATTCCACTGGCCACAAATCACAACCTGATTGACTTTATGTGAAGAAGATGTGTTGCACTGTGTGAGGGAAATGGGGGTCACACGAAGACACCACCACCCTTCTTGGAGTGGGAATTATGGTGTGCAGTTGTTTCGAGGGTTGGAGTTGGGCCCTTAGTTTCAGTAAAAGAACAAATAAATGAGTAAATTCAATTGTATGCTTCTGGCTTTGTGTTAAGAGTTTTAGGATGACCCCTTCCTCTTCCAACATGACTGCACACCAGTGCACAAAGCAAGGTCCTTAAAGACAGATGAGTAAGTTTGTTATGAAGGATCTTGACTGGCCTGCAGAATTGGAATCTTCTTAACCTGATAGAACACCTTTGGCATGAATTAATGCAGTGACTGTAGGTCAGGCCTTCTCATCCAACATCAGGGCCCAAGAACACACTCCTAAACCTTGTGGAAAGCCTTCTCAGAAGAGCTGAAGCTGTTAATGTTGCAAAAGGTGGGACAACTCCATATTGGAATAATGAGGTGGGCCAACCCTATGGATTAAGATTGGGATGTCAAATTTATGTGCAAGTAGAAGCAGATGTTCCAAAGCCATTTTAAGAACCTCCTAGTTTGCTGTATAGTTTTTATAGGTTCTCTAACTTTGTCTCTTAATTGGAATTAACTGAGCCCTGCAGCCCTTCATACTTAACCTGTGATTGGCATACTGACATTGCTTCCTCTTCCACTTACCTACACAGTATGGGGATGTCCAAACTCAGTCCTGTAGGTCCTGTGTCCTGCATAGTTTAGTTCCAACTTTCTTCAACACACTTGCCTAGACGTTTCTGGTATACCTAGAAATAGCTTGATTAGCTGGTTCAGGCATGTCTAATTGGGGTTACTAAAGTTTACAGGACACCGGCCCTCCAGGACTGAGTTTAGACCCCCCTGTAATAGTGTGAAAAACAATATTATGCCCAAATTTACAACACTCATTAAAGGGTACATACTCTACCCAGATTACCTATTTCTTCTTGTGGAATATTTAAATGTGTACATTTACAAAAGTAGACATTTTAGTATTCCACAAAACAGCCACAGGAAAAGATTTGTGAATAAAAGATGTACAAACTTAGTACATACATTTTTTATTCATGCTATATTACTTAGACTTTTAGTTGTATATTATGTAAAGTAAGTACAAGGAGAGTATGTAATTTTGGACACAGATTAAATCTCATCTGTAAGAACCATGCATTATCAGTTGTGTTCCTAGAAAGCCATCACCTTTAAAAGATCCTGGTTCTTTTATATTAGAATAATAAGATAATTACTGACACAATATTTAGTTTGCAAGCTTTAAAGAGTTTGTGAGAAAGCAATCTGGACTTGAGCTGAATGCGAAAGCTGCTTTGTGTTTGCTCCCGAGTGTATTTACTTAAATGATGCATCTGAAAATAGAATCTTATTGTACCATGTGGGGGTGTAAAATAAACATTACAAATTGTCTCTCTCACAAGTACATGGTTAATATGCTTTTTAAAGAGAATTTTTACTCTACAGATTTTCTTTATTTATTTATTTTGTGTCTTCAATTTCTATCCAGCAGGCTGAATAGCTTTTTCTAACAGGCCAGTTAAAGAGCGGCGTGTGGCCACGAAGCATGTCACGTCAAAAGCGATTAGCAGGAATGGAAAATGACACGTGAATGGTGAAACCTTTTGATGCATTGTAGGAGGCTCTAATGCTCAAGAAAGCAACCTCAACATCCCACTCAAATAATTGTTTGACTGAATATTTGAGGGCTACAATCGGCTGCTTGAATTAGTATTTTTGGGGCGACACGTATAAGGTGGAACACAAGCGTAAAACAGGAGTAAACTGCACAATGTATCTGTGGCTAGTGTGTGTGAAAAGCATGCGGGACAAATTGTTCCCATGTCCCTCTCTGCCAGAAGATTAAGCGTAAGTGTGAAATCCTAAATGCTGTCGAGAAAAATACAGTTGCCAGTTATGTTTGTATGTATGTCATTGTGTAGCTGGAGAAATGTGGGTGGCTTGGGCTATATTCATCATTGATGTCAAAGATGGGATGGTAAAAGGGATTGTTTTCACAATCTGATTGATTAATCAAAGTATCCAGAATTAGATATTGAGATAAAGAGATTTCAAAACTAATTTGTTTTATATACATACTAAAATTATCAGTATTTTTGTGCCAATTGCCAGCATAAAACAGCATTTGTTATTTTATGATCAATAAAATTCGTTGGTATTTTTTATGTTTTTTTATTATTATTAGTTTGCTTAAGTGATTCTGACTATAGTTGATCACAACAGACATTTTTATGAATCACCTTCAATTTAATCTAAACAAGACAGTGCTTCATCGCATGTTTCATCATAACTTATACCTTACTGTTAAGTTAATCAATCAACAATTAATCCTTCCAAGACAAGTATGACCCTTGGCGTTGTGATTGCTGATCAAGTCTTACAGATTTTAACTCCTATTTCAAGCTCTTGCTCTGCCCAAGCTGAACTATTGCAAATCAACCAATTGCAATTGATTCATTATGAGTAATTTAATGTGTAAAAAAAAGTCACATTTTTAAATAAATTTCATCCGATTGCTTGCTTTAGATTGTTGCAGCACTGGTGTTTACCTGCAAAATCACCATAGCTCTGCACCCCGTTATCCTTTATGTGACCTCCAGAGGCTTGTGTTTTGCAAGTGCACAGTTGCTATTTGCTGGTAGAATGACCTACCCTATTCAACCCTAAAACCAAAACATCTCATTTCATCATTATAGCATACTGTACATTTGAAAATGCAAAATGCACCTGTGCCAAACATCTTACCAAATTTGAAATCATAAGTCCAATGTGTTATAATTTGCATGTTTGTATCGAATATATTAATCTATTCTGTTTGATATATTTTATTATTCGTTCTGCCTGTTTGTTGTCAAATTCTTACCATATCATTACAAATCATTATTGTAAATTCATCTGCATTAATTATTAGTTAAAAAGCCTTTTGTTGAACACACCCTATGAACACACTATGTACAGTATGCCACCTATTGAGCCATCATTCTGTAGCCTATATAGCGAAACAGGTGCAGTGGTCATGGGGATGTTTCATTTTCTGTTCAACGCCCATGTCTTCATATCATCGCGGAAGCAGGAAATAGTGTGGTGCACCTGACGCGGAGACCAACCGTCTAGTAAACACACAGCAGGTTGATTTAATTGCTGCAGCTATTGGTAAGATACTACGTTTTACCCACATTTTTTATGATTTTAACTTTAGTTAAAACTCAAGCGGTATTATATACTGTACAGTAGGCTATATTTCGAAGAATGTGGTAGCCAACATGTTATTGATGGGAATTAAGAATTAGCCTGACGTTATGGATTCGTTTGCGCTTTTTCTTGAAAGTCCTATATAATTAGTAGCCTACTACTGAGGACGTTCTTGCCCTCAGAAGTTTAGTAAAATTATGAGATTGAATCCGATTTTAACATTAAACAAGTTGGGCAACATATAGGCTAATAGCCCACATTTCTTGCAAAAAAAGTGTACTTTATAAAGATTTATTCTCTAAGTTACATCTATAAGTAATGAAGTAATTTAAAGATTCCACTCATAAGAGTGATTCGTTTGTCTACTGTATAATATACTGTACACTGTTGCTACAGTAAAATATATGACAAGAAATTATGACTACAGATGTTTTGGTTACTTTAACTTGTTTTATTAAGTTTAGGTGTAGCATTCTATTTGTAATCAGCTTTGATGGAGGATTTGATGGATTCAACAAAAAGTAAATAAAATAAATAAACACCAGTAATGTGTATGTGTGTGGATTATTCAGATAAAATGTTTATTCAATTCAAGAATAATTGTTTGGGAAAATAGCTAAACAATGTTTTCTCTTCTTCATTTAGTTGTAATTAGTTTATTTTTTTATTGCTTGGGTGTTTTAATGACTGCATTATTACTTCATTGATAGCTTTTCATATGACCTTATCTTTTTAGGTCACTATGTCAAAGAAAGATGAAGAGACGTTCAAGTCTGTGGACTTGGAGCAGCAAACAGAAAAATCTGTGGAACCAGACAACAATCCTGAACAACCTCCTAATGAAACAGAGAAACCCAGTGCACCTTCCACAGAGGCCAAGGTGGAAACCTACCCGTCTCCACATGTGTCGGCGGCCAAAGCTAAATGGAAATCATCTTCAGAACAGTTTAAACTGAAGAGATTTTTTGTCATCAGGGTAATCTCCATACTCCTTTAAGTATCAGTTGATTAATCATTTGATGTTCTGCTGTGTTTTTTTTTTTTATCATAATCTACACTTCTTTTGTATGTTGAGTGCTGTGGTGCAACGATTATTGCTGCTCTTTGGTACAGTTGAATGCTGTAAGCAACACCTTTTGTAAATATGAATGGTCAATCATCCATTAAGCAAGTAATGATATTCTTTACTCTTCCAGTGCTGCCTTTTGTCTGCTTGTAGGCTATTCAGTCACACTTCTGTTCTGCACTTGCAGAGATCACTGAATTTCTTCCTGTTTTCTATTTCCGCAGTCTGTGAGGTCATTTGATTAACAAATAGTGTATGTCGGCCAGCTCATAGACCACATTTTGTTTTGTGAAAGTGGTGAAATGGGCGAATTCAATGAGGATTACTTTAACTCTTTGAAAAAACATTTTTTTGGCCCACATCTTAGATTGAACTATGTACTTACACCACTCTAACTAATTATAAAATAATAATAATTAATGACAACTATATAGGCTAAGGTTAACTAGCTGGTTACGATGCCTGTTAACATTTTTAAAATTAAATGCATTTTTCATCATGAAAATCATAATAATTGTAATATTATATTAAATTATTCATTCTCTTTTCGGCTAAGACCTTTTATTAATCTGGGGTCGCCAAAGCAGAATGAACCGCCAACTTATCAAGCATATGTTTTACACAGTGGATGCCCTTCCAGCTGTAACCCATCACTGGGAAACATCCATACACACTTATTCACACACATACACTACGGACAATTTAGCCTACTCAATTCACCTATACCGCATGTCAAATTACGTATTTCCCAAAATAGTGTTTCTCTGTAATTTCATTGTCTCCTAATGCACAGATACCAGGAAATGTACTGTACTGTGAAGTCATTTTAGAATTATAGTTAACATTTTTTTATTTTGTGTCATTTTAGCCTGGAACACTGGACCATGGCATTGAGGATGTTAAAACTCTGGTGGATCCTACAGATGATGGAGCTATCCAGGGTATTTGGCTCATGGCAGAGTAAATATGTTTTTCTTTCTTTTCTTTCTTTCCTTCTTTCTTTCTTTTTTCTTTCTTTCTTTCTTTCTTTCAACATTCAACACAGAGCAATCTCATTCAGGTCTCCCATCACAAAAACAAGGCCACAGTCCATTATCTCACACTGTGTTGTGTAAATAAGTAAAATGTGCTGGAGATAATGATATTGAAATAAACAGGCAGCAGAATGGGGCTGCTAGAAGACATCATGCTAAAAGAGATGGCAGATTGTCAACTTCTATGTGTCTGTGAGCAGGCTTTCAGGAAACAGTTCAAAGGCCTTGCTATTTGATAATTAATAATATATATATTATATTTCCCATGCTCCACACTGCTACTCACATATGCACACACACACACACATGCACACAGATATTTCCAGCAATGCTTGAGCTGCTCTGTGGATTGAACTTAGGCTTGAAACAAAAGATGAAGTTCATTGAATTCATGCTTTCTGACGGCCATAAATTTATTATGGAAGACATTGTAGGAAATAGCTTTAGCCGTGGCTTGCCTTTTTGTGCTGTCAAAACAAAGACACTTGAAAGGCATAATATATTGTTTAGTTAAAATAGCATTAACTAGTGTTATGTGCCGTGTGTTAATTATAAATGGGTTCATATCACTTCAATCGATAACCTGTGCACACCTTCACATTATGGGCCAGATTTACTAATAGCTTGCACCAGTGCATTAAAGAGATGATAAAGAATAAATACATAAAAACATGCAGCAAACGCTTGGCAATAAAAGGTATGTCCTTTTTTCAAATGTGTTTGGGAACTTTTTATATCAGATGTAAAATTTATGAAAGAAAAGTTTTCAAAAAGGTGTATTGTGCATGTCCGTTTTCTTAATCTCATATTATCTTAAGTTTAGAGTCAATACTGCAAGTACTGCATCAATAATTTCTCTGAAAAGTATTTAGTTTTTTATATACTTTTAATACAGCTTAGTGATTTTATACTGAAAAAATTAGCTTCTGGATGTGTCATTTACAGTGCAAATCTGTCGCAGCTTCTACTTAATGATTGACTAATATACTAATATAATTTATATTCATATACTTGAAGTCAGAACTATTAGTCCGCATGTATATTATTACATATGTACATATTATTAGCCCCCTGTTTATTTTTTATTATTTTTAATGACTCATTTCTAATAACTGATTTATTTTATCTTTGCAATGATGACAGTAAATAATATTTGACTAGATATTTTTCAAGACACTTCTACTGTGTACAGCTTACAGCAACATTTAAAGGCTTGACTAGGTTAATTAGGTTAACTAGGCAGGTTAGGGTTATAAGGCAAGTCATTCAAGTCAATCATCATGATTTGTTCTTTAGACTATAGAAAAAATATAGCTTATTGTGGCTAACAATAAAAATATAGCTTAATGGGGCTATTTTGACCCTAAAAAATGTTTTTAAAAAATTAAAAACTGCTTTTATATATATATATATATATATATATATAAATATATATATATATATATATATATATATATATATATATATATATATATATAAAATATATATATCCTCTATGGACGCTCCGGCAACTGCGTTATTTTTTTTTTTATGCGTTAAATATGTCCTAATGTATATATATATATATATATATATATATATATATATATATATATATATATATATATATATATATATATACATATATATATTTTTTTTTTTTACAAATTCATATTTTTGTACTTCCCAAGGAGACAATAAGTGTGTTGTTTTCAAATTTGTATTTTCAGGCCTCCAAAACAAAATTGTAATATAAATGGACAATTTTTTTGTTGTTGTTGTTTATTTGTTAAAAGTCACAAATTTAAGTATTGTTTTTTTCTACTTACAGTTTTCATTTCTAAGCCATTATCTGCCGTTTCTTTGCTATTTAATTGTACAGTTTTATTTGTTGAGTAAAAACCTTCTCTATACCAGTTTGCAGAGCTCTTTGAAAACTTACTGTAGCGGTAAAGGAAGTATGTTGAGTTTAAAGGGTCTTGTGACGCCAAGGACATCTTCAACACTATGTTTGCAGTATCACATCCAAAAGCCCCAGGGCACTACTGAGAGCCACAGGGTCTGTTAGTGTGTGTGTTTGTCTGTGGTGTGGAAATGTTTGTGGTCTTTCACACTTTCTGAACATCCCCAGGCCCACAGACGCAGCCAAGGTGAAATCATTCCATTTGCTTACTCAGAAGTTTCTGAACCAATAAAAAGTACCTAAAATGACAAGAGTGTATAAGAGTTTTGTGCTGTATTATGTTTTTCATGTGCTGTTTCTGTAACTGTCCAGATTTAATGTTCTGGATAAGAAGAAATTGCACATAGAAGTGTAGAGATCTAGATACAGTTCTTTGTGTGTGTGTTTACCTCATCATCATTGAGTAAGTTTCACAGTTCTTTGGTGAGAGTGCGTTTTGAAAAGTGGAGAACATGAACAGCCTCTCGATATCTTGCTGTACAAGCTTTTCTCATTGGTCAATTAGAGCAAAACACTTACAAAAGATATGAGTTTGGTATTTTGAGAAAACAAAACAACCATGAAAAGTGGCTTATGCATCAGTTACACATTTTCTGAATGCGTATCTTTGTTTTGACATTACATCTGGGATCTAAAAATGTGGCCATGCATATTTTAACTGTGCCAAAGGCAACTGCTGAAGCTTTTAGAATATGTAGGCCTTCATTATTAAGACCCACATGCTTATAGACATTTTTGTAAAGCCACTCCAAATAGGTTCACAGAAAGACACTGCAACAATTTACACTCTGAGAATTAATACATTTCACAAGTTAATAACAAAGAAACCGCAAGTAACCTGTCGAATAGAATAGCTGTAGAATAATGAGAACCGAAAATATGTAGACACAACAATCATTTGTCAAACTCTCAATAAACAAAGGTCCAAGAACTGGTTTTACTTTGTGCTTGAATAAAGCTGTAAAAAGACTGTGAATGACAGATTTGTGGGAATGTACAGGTAGTTCTAGTGTAGTAACAGAGGTATGCATTCAGGCCCAGTAGGAAACAAATGGATGCTCATGTTCCAGAAAAATAAACCCATGTTAATGAATGATTTAGTGTATGAAAATAAAAGAATAAAAAATAGCAGCACCTTAGTTCATAAATGTCAAACCAGTGGAAGGCAACGATAGCAGAATAGCAATCTTGCATGAAAAGCTAACAGCTGAAAATTCTTATAAAGTTAAATATGATGCTTAAATGATTGATCTATCTCAACTACAAGATGAAATTATAAGACAACAAATTGAGTAAAATGCCATATTTAAGTATCCATTTCACAAAGGAAATTACTCCCATATTATGATAATTTACAAAATACTTTACCATTAAGTGTACCAAAGAGATAGACCGAAAGCAACATGGTGCAAAATACAGAGTAGACTAATGTTAGGGCCTGCTCACACTATGTACAGTTGCCCTGAACCAGGCCAAAGCACGATTGTCCCCCCTCCCGTCTCCCCCGACAGCCAGCACTCACATTACATTCGGGCCTGGGCACACTTAAGTCATCGATGATGTGCTGTTCAGTAAGCGCTTTCACTCAGCACAGTGGAAATTGTTTTAGTTATATCGGTATGGTTGTTAAATTTGCTGTGACACCCAGTCAAATAATTCGTTGAACAGATCAGCCACTTTTGATGCTCATAAACAATAATAAAGTCCTTGTTCTGCAGGAATTAGGAGGTTTGCTAAAGGTGCAGCTGTCGTGCAGTGAGGGGCTTGCATCTTGCATCTATGGCAGTTTGTGTTCATTGAACAGTAAGAATGATTAATAAATCCATATGAAACAGTCCCGTAAGACTCACGTCTCGTTTTCTCGTCTCTGGTGCGCTTTGCACACACTATAAGCATGGCGTGCCAAAGCCCAAGTGAACCGCGCTCTGGCACACCTCTTCCAACATGGGCCAGTGCCAGCCAAGAACTGTACCTGAGCCTAATTCAGAGCACTCACACTCCTCAAACGATCCAGGAAACGGGCCTGGGCACTGTTTGGTTAGCATAGTGTGAGTAGGCCCTTGGTAGTGGCACTTTCTGTATTCCATCAGCTGACTAAAATGTTGCTTCATAGTGGTGTTTGACGCTTCCAGTATTTACAACTCCAACTTTCTCATCAATTTTGTTTTGAATCGGAGCTAAATAAACACATACCTCTCTGTCCAATCATCTTTAAAAACTCTATTTTCTTCATCAACTTTATTTTCTGGAAACTGACATCCTCACCTATTCAAATGTTAACTGCAGACAAACACATGCTGAACAGATGTCACAACAACACCACACAGAAAAACTTCATTTTGGACCATTGATATTATAAAAAACTTAACAAATTTACAAGCTTAACGTACTTTTATCAATGTAGTTATCCATTACAAACAATTAGTGCTCTTAAAATATGAAATGGAGATGTGTACAGATTGAATATGTGGACAATAGTTTCTGTTATAGTTATCTTTGTACTTATTCTTGGTATGAACGTGCCTTTAGCATGAAGAGCAGAACAAGATTAGGACTCAAACTCAGACACCCACATGTTTTACTGCATCAAAAATCATGAACCACTTTGTATTGTGGCCTTAATTATTATGTACCTGCATTTAAATTTGATAAAATGCAATTATTATGCACATACATGATTTTACATTACATTATACACTCACTGGCTACTTTATTAGGTATACCTTACTAGTACGGGGTTGGACCCACTTTTGCCTTCAAAACTGCCTTAATCCTTTGTGGCATAGATTCAACAACATTCTGGAAATATTCCTCAAATAATTTGATCCCTATTGACATGATAGCATCACACAGTTTTGCAGATTTCTCTGCTGCACATCCATGATGCCAATCTCCCATTCCGCCACATCCAAAAGTTGCTCTCTATTGGACTGAGATCTGGTGACTGTGGAGGCCATTTAAATACAGTGAACATATTGCCATGTTCAAGAAACCTGTCTGAGATGATTCTTTAGTTCCTAAAATCCTGAGATGCTTTATGACATGGCACATTATTCCAAGTGGTGCTCGCTGCAGAGCCATTTGGGCGAGCTGAGCTCCAGCGAGGGGGAGCTTGAGCTTGAGCTCCACCTTTTTTGCACTTCTTCTACGAGTGATGTCACTGGGGGTAGGGTTAGGGGTGGGGTTGGTGTACGCATTAAAACAGCTTACAGGAGGCAGAACGAGAGCTCATGCTCCCCCTCGCTGGAGCTCAGCTCTGCTCAAATGGCTCTGCAGCGAGCACCCTCTCCATTTTTCTGGTGGAAGTAACCATCAACCTCAAGGTTTGACGTGTTGTGCGTTCAGAGATGCTATTCTGCATACCTCGGTTGTAACTGAATCTGTTGTCTGGCCATTCTCATCTGATTTCTGGCATCAACAAGGCATTTGCGCCAACAGAACTGCCACTCACTGAATCATTTCTCTTTTTCAGACCATTCTCTGTAAACCCTAGAGATGGTTATGCGTGAAAATCCCAGTAGATCAGCAGTTTCTGAAATGCTCATTTAAATGCTTTTCTTTTCCATTCTGATGCTCTGTTTGAACTGCATTATATCGTCTTGGGCATGTCTACATGCCTTAATTCATTGAGTTGCTGCCATGTGATTGGCTTATTAGAAATTTGTTAACAAGCAGTTGGACAAGTGTACCTAATAAAGTGGCCGATGAGTGTATTTTAAAAAATCATCTGCATTTACAGTTGTTACAGTACATCTCTAATTATTACAGTTGACCCATACCTTAAACTTACCCATGCCACCAAACTTGTCCCTAACTTTACCCATATGCCACCTGAATAGCCTCATAATTGTTGTCAATACAATACGAACACTTTTTTTCATTTAAAGGCATTCAGTAGTAGTTAAGGCAACTCAATATAAGTGGGACCTAATATTGTGCAATTGTACAATAATTGTTCTCATTTTTCAAACTGTCTCCATTTTCCTGTGTAGGGTGGATCATTGGAACAATGAGAAAGAGCGTCTGGTTCTCATCACAGAAAACACCCTCCTCATCTGTAAGTATGACTTTGTCATGCTGAACTGTGAGCAGATCCAGAAGATTCCACTCAACTTCATCGACCGCATCTGTCATGGTGCCTTCAGCTTTCCACCACGCTCCCTTCTAAAGTGAGTAACACTCTTTCCCTCCTCATCATTAGTTTATTCTGTGCTGAAAAGGTCACATTTCACAAATGCAACAAAAGTCTCTAAATGTTCTACATTTGCCAGCATTTTTTATCTTAACATCTGATTTTCATGGTGTCTGCTTAACTGTGCACATTTAACCCAAAAAAAAAAAAACACACAAACACACACAATTTTTTTACGCTCTGCTGGTTGTTAGTGTGCCACCTGTTACCATGTGTAATGAAGCCTCCTACATACAAAACTCTCAGAAAGTATTTTTCTTAGAAATACCTTCATATTGGCTTGTAGTCAATTCTGTTTATCAATTGCAAATTCTTTCCAAACTTTTGCATGTCATGCTTTATTGCATTATATGAGGAAAGTCTGCAGCAGAGAGATACAGAATGAAGAGAGGTGCTGTCTGTGAAGATGACAACCAGGCAGGGCCTGTCGAGAATGAGAAATGGACTCATGTTCTGCTTCAATAAGGACATTCTGCCTGTGATAACCATAAGTACTGTAAACACAAGGAGAAGTCAGGGTTATCTTGACCGCATGGTGGTCTTAATAATAGTAGCTAGCTGGCCACCTGCTTGAAAACACTTGATTAATAGCTTTTAATAAAAAAAATGTGATCAATTTTTCATTCTTAAGAGGAAATTCCTTAAAGAACTGACGTTGCAGATCCTGCGATGCGACTATTGAAACATTATATATTGTGCAGTTTTATTTATTCATCCATTATGTGTTGAAAATATTGTCTACATGCAGAAAAAAAAAATCATTATTTTGTGTTTAAATTGCCAAAATGTGAATGTAAACAAAAATCTATTGTTTTTCTTTAAAACAATGATGCAGTACAAACGTTTCAACACTAATAATAATAGAAAATGTTTCTCAAGCCACAGATTAACATATAAGAATTATTTCTATGTAATAAAATATATTAATATTTCACTACAAATTATTACATTATGTACTGGGTTTGTAAAATACATAAGAGACTTAAAACAACCTGACTAGCCCTAAACTGTTGAATGGCAGTGTATTTTTGATTTTATGCTACAGGGTCTTTGATAGATTCTGATTGGTTTATAAACATTGTTGTAATATTAAATTATTTTCAGGAAAACAATGCTAGTTCTAGGCAGGTCTTGTTCACATTATAGTTCTAAAACACTTTGCCAAAAGAGTCTGCTTGTTTCAAACGTCCTGAGAGAAAAGCAAAGTAAATCTGTAAGGCTTGAAGCTTACGCTGCTATTCTGAACCAATAGTCATAAACAGAAAGCAGTTGAAGGATGGCGTGTTTAAATCCATTATTTATCTGACTCCATTGTAATTAATCTGACTCCATTAAAGTTGTTATCATCATTGATAAGGAGAAAGAATCTCAAAACTTAAAGCAGGCAAAGTTGTTTATTCAATTACATGTTTAAATATACAGACAGTAGAATGAAACAAACTAACAAACTGTATAAAGAAATTAGCTGTAACATGTGCACTGCTGAGCAACGCAGACAGTGAAACTGCCTTTGTTAGCATATGAGGCTACGCACCGGTGTGCGGGAGATGCAGAGTAAAAGCCATTCTCCCAGATCAACAGTTACCTTTCCTTATACCCTGAGCAAAGCATTGTCAAACATGAGTGAAAACCAACCCCCAAAACCACCTGATCATGAGAGCAAAGTTGAGAAGATAAAGTGGGGGAGAGGAACATTAACATACTCTCCTCAGGCCATGACTCAACGATAGTAAATATATTTTATATTGAAATACAATCAATCAATGTCTCTGTTGATTTCATCACTACAAAGCTGAAGTCATAAACTGTCAAATGACACCAAACATGACAAAGTTATATGAAGGAAGAACACGAGCAGATGAATTGTGTATGGTGAAAAGCACATGATTACTGTAAGCAAATGGCAGAGATGTGTATTCAACTCTGCCACGCCAGGATGACCCATCGCATGTTTGGAATGTCTCATTCAATAAAATAAGTAATTAATATTAATAATAATAATGATAAATTATTGGCATGTTTTTCCCATGCTTGTGTATACATTCAGTTGAAGTCATAATTATTAGCCCCCTTTGAATTTTTTTTTTCTTTTTTTATATATTTCCTACATGATGTTTAAAATAGTAAGGACATATTTACAGTTTTCTTGTGGAGAAAGTCTTATTTGTTTTATTGTGGCTAGAATAAAAGCAGTTTTTAAAAAACATTTTAAGGTCAAAATTATTTGTCTCTAAGGATTTTTTTCCCAATAGTCTACAGAACTAACCATCGTTATACAATAAGTTGCCTAATTACCTTAACCTGCCTAGTTTTCCTAATTAACCTAGTTAAGCCTTTAAATGTCACTTTAAGCTGTAGAAGTGTATTGAAAAATATATAGTACAATATTATTTAATGTCATCATGGCGAAGATGAAATAAGTCTTTGCCAATACGTTATAAGTTTAATAAGTTATTAGAAATGTTAATAAAACTATTATATTTAGAAATGTTTTAAAAATAATAGTCTCTCCATTAAACAGAAATTGGGGTAAAAATAAACAGGGAGGCTAATAATTCTGACTTCAACTGATTGTATCACTATTAGTCATCACAATGTATATTATGTTATGTTAGTGTTTTATGCAATATATTGTTATTGTACAAAAAATATTAAAGAGGAAAAAATGGTAATAACTATATTTCGGTTACTAAACTCATAATTTGCCACTAAAGCATCCAAGTTTTCCAGCTTGCTTGAATCAGTACTAACATCCTCAAATGAAAATATTTAGCTTGTTCTGGAATATCTTAGCCAATGGCTTTTGACTCTCATTCATTTCTGTACTTTTCTCTTTGCTCACTGTGCCGCTTAAAGCCTTAAGCAGACAAATAATGAAAATCTGAGACCATGAGTCATTTTTCCTAACCGTATTAGCAGTTTTACAGGGTGATAATACCCACAATGCAGCAGGATTTGACAAATGGTATTGGAGGGGAAGAAGGCCAGAGCCTCTTTTCTTCTCTTAATTTTTGTGTGGAGGGATTATGTGAATGGAAATGGGATGTAAAGAAGACTTTAGAACACGAGGAGGGAAGAGCTGTCAGTACAGCTCTTGTGTAACCGATTAGTGGTAGAAATTAATGTAGTCCTTTCATCCAAACCTTTTAAAGATGGCTCAGGGGACACCAAACCAAGTAAAACTAATTTGATGAATAAAACGTAATGCGGCGTGAAGTGCTTATGAGAGGCAGGCCGTATTGGGCTGACTTTATCTCCCTGCATTACATTCAATTATAAATAAAACGCCACTGAAAACCACCCTAGAGTGTTGAAGGAATAAGGCATGCTTTAAAGCAGCTTTTTCTTCTCCTTTCGTCTTTTGCTCAATAATTTCTTTCCATCACTTTTTCTTGTCTCTCTCTTAATCTCCTGCTTAAAGGCACAGTTCATCCAAAAATCTCAATTTTACTCACAATCGAGTGATTCCAAACATTTATGAGTTTCTTTATTCTGAAGATATTTTGAAGAAATCGGAAAACCTGTAACCATTGACTTCTACAGCAGCAAAAACAGATATTATGAAAGTCAATGGTTACAGGTTTTCAGCTTTCTTCAAATTATCTTCTTTTGATTTTAACAGAAGAAACCCATAAATGATTGAGTTAAGTAAAGGCTGAGTAAATGATGACAATTTTTTGGCGATCTATTCCTTTAAGCTGTCCATACTTCACTTGTTTAATCAGTGCATGCAATTCTCCACTTAAATTCTTATTATAAATCAAAACATATCACTTAAATAATAATCACATTAATATGCAAGCTGTCATTTCCACTTTTTTTCTTTTATTTACTCTACAGTAATTTGGACATAGTAATTCACCTCAGATGTTTTTGCACATAACCTTGCTAACAGTACTGTAGTGAGATAGCCGAATCACACACACACATACACCATCATCATCAACATCAATACTTAACACCATCATTTAGCACCAGTCCAGTGAATAATTGAGTGAATGCAACTGCTCAAGTGTATAAAATGGAGCATGATCTTACTTTCTGAATTAATAAATTAGGACTTCCTTGTATTATAATTGCATGCATTAGTGCATTCTGCTGTTCTTGTGCTGTTGGAAGTTAACACTGTGCTTTAATTTGATTATAAGTTTATCAGGACTTTTATCCTGAGAAATGTAATAATTGTTGATTTATTCCAAATATATAATCTGAACTCCAGTGCAAAGTTTTGTATCATCTTGTAGATATCTCAGACAGCTTGTATTGATTCTGATATAATTGTTTTTATGAATGAATAAATCAGTATTAGCTACTACTCCAACTCTTCAGTAATCCACTAAAAAAACTTTTTTGTACGCTGATTTGATGCTCAAGAAACAGTTCTTACGGTTATATGTTCAAAACTGCAGCACTGCTCAATTTGTTTCTGGAATACATTTTTTTCAAGGATGTTTGCTAAACATAAACAGTATTTGCTTGTTTTTGAATTTTTTGTTTCACTGTAAAAGGCCTTTACTGTTTGATTTGATATTGTTTTATTGCTGAATGTGAAAATCTTTAAAAAAAATAAATAAATAAATCATACTGACCACAAACACAGCAGTGTACATTATAACTGCTAAAACCCTATATATTTTATGTCCACATGTTTTGAATATCTGTTTGTAGAATATGTCATTTTGTGATGTCTAAAGTAGTTTGAAAACTATTTATTTTATTGTATAATTTCATATATTAATAGTATAAAATATACTTGAAACATGAAATGATTAACATTATTTAATGCATTAAGAGCAAATCAAAACTTATTTTTTTGTTAAAACATTTTGTCATGTTAAACATCCTTTCGTACAAACCTTTGCAGCCTTTTTCAATAATCAGGGCATTATAAAAAGCGTGCTGATTATGTGTTGACTTTTTGAGACATTACATTGAATAAGACTGAATCAGAAGTAATTCTTTCTGAGAATTCTAAGC